AAATCTTAAAAAACAATAAAAGGAATATGAGAGCAATGGTAATTTTGCCTGTACAGCTGAAATATTTCTTTATGAAAAGGTAATTTATAGAAGTATTAGAAAATTAGACAAAAAGAACAAAAAAGAAAAAAGTAATTTATAAAGGAAGCCTCTTACAACAACAAAAGAACTTAATCACTTCTATTTTACTGACATTCCTTTTCATTTCAAATAACTTAAAAATTAAACTAAAAGCTAATATAGGCTGGTCATATTAACTACTACATTAATGCAGTATCATCAAAAATTTGTAGTGATTAGTAGACAGTGTTATTACAAAGCACAAAGGAGTTCATTTATATAATGGGTTAAAAATGTCTTCATTATTAAAGAGCCCTGACTTTCTGATTAAAAACAAAGGAACGCTAGTAAAATTCCTCTTTTATCCTTTTGCAAAAATTGAGAGCATAAGGTTATAAGCAGCAAGAAGCTATATATTTTAGAAATTAGTAAGTTAAGGAATATTAGTAATAATAAAGCTTCTATAAGCACTAAGTGAAGTGGTCATTATGAATTTTCCTCATTTCACATAATCAATGCAGCCTCATCAAGGACAGATTAGCATCTCTTCTTTCTCAGTGAGGGCACAGATATCAGCTCAAGAGGCATTCTTAAAGGTGTTAAGGATTCAAGTTAAGACCTTACACAGAAATCTACTAAATTATCATAACAGGAATAATGCATCTTTAGATAAAGTATTTGGCATCTATTAGGAGTTTATAGAGTTACATTTTTCAAAACTAGTTTTATAGAAAACAACAGAAAAAAATCACCAGTTTTTTAAATATGGGGCATGTTTTAGAAAATATCGTATAAACTGCTGGAACTTTGTAGCTGAATAACATAATTAAGCTTAATAAACATGAAAACTAAGACTTTTCAAATAAGACATAAATAAGAACATCTAATGAATGTTAAGTACAATACCATGTAGATTAAATATGGGAAAGAGTGGTTAATTGGCCTGGTTAACCATTACATTTTATTACTGATTTTAAGAATCAAGACACAGTAAGTAAAGCAGAATGTGCCTTTCTAAAATACATCTCTTTGCAATAAGGACTTTTTTAGCTGAAATTACTTGAAAAAGGATAAATGCAGGGATAGGCTTTCTCTGAATTCTCTTTATCTGACTGAAAACATACCCACCGGAAGAAACAAGGGCATAAATTCCTCCCCTGGGAGTTACATCATCCAGGGAAGACTGACTAGACTGGCTCTTATTGTAGGAGAGGCTAGAAACAGACACTATACCCAGCCAAACTTTGTCACAAACTATCTTATCTCCTATCTCTTCTTTAAAGGGCTATTCATTTTTCTTAAAAACCATTCACTCTCCCTTAAATGACCTCTCTCCTCCCACCCCCAATTAAGTTCTCAAATCTTCCTTCTATTTTTGGTGGTTTACTTCTTTCCCAGAGATGCTCAGATGCATGTAATATTAAATATCAATGCATTTGGATGCCTTTTTCTCTCATTAGTCAACCTATCAGTTTATTTCATACACCCCTCTAGTGAACCTAGGAGAGTAGAGGCTCTTTCCTTCTCAAAATGAATTATATGTACTAGTTGAAAGTTAACTTTCCTTTGCTGGATCAGGAAGTACATTAGGATAATACAGTGGTTTAGTAGCATCATTATACTTATAAATTATCACCCAGATAACTACAGATACAGGTTATTCTTAAGAACAAATATATGGACTGATAATTATTACCACATTTCATATTGGATACTACGCATCAAAGAACCAAACCTCCCTATTTGCAGGAGACTTTTCCCAGTAACAGTTTTTCTACATAAGAACTAAACAAAAACATAAATCCTTAGAAAAGTTACTTAATGACTTACAGGTTCACAGATTTTTCAATCCATCCTATTTTATGTTTTCTTTGCGTCTTGTCTAAACTATCGTGGTAACTTTTTTTACTGGTCCTTCTCTATCTCTTCCAATGGATTTCTAGAAAATAAAGGCTATAGTACATACTATGATAAAGTACTAGAGTATTTCTAATAACCTTTTAAATTTCATGTGTGTTGTAAACCCTCAAGATATGAAAGCTTATTGCCATTTCTTTTTTTTTTTTCTTAAAGATTTATTTATTTGTGCATACAGAACTGGGGTACAGGCCAGAGGCTCAGGGGCGGTGAGAGGCTTCACCAGAGACAGAGTGGGGAACAGAACAGGCAGATCGACGAAGTACACTGCTGAGGGGAGCAGCGGGCGGGTCAGGAGAGGTCTGCCACACCACGTGGTCACCTCCGGGGCAGGCGGGAATTGAACTCATGCGGAAGCGGCTTTAGATTCTCAGTGCAGTGCTTTAACCCGCTGCGCCACCAGGGAGGGCCCTTATTGCCATTTCTTAACAGTATTCTGTGTTCCAAGCACTAAAAAATATTGACATAAATGATAAACTACTCTGCCAGTCAAGGTCCTACTTTCCCTTTCTGACAATTCCTTCCACTGTGCTCCCAGGTCCCTAGGCCATCTACTGCTCTTTTATGCGTCTCTGTCCATAATGTTTCTCTATCTGCAGTGTCCTTCCTCTCATTATTTGGTGAAACCATGCCAAGCTATAAAGGCATGGGACTAAAAGGTAACTCCTCCAGGAAGTCAAATCAAATTCTCTCCAATTTGATTTATTTTCTACTACCCCAAGGACTCTATAACTTTATTAAAGCATTTGTCTACCTTCAATTACATTATAATAAGTGTGAGTTTCCCCCTCATAAATTATAAGGTACGGAAAACAAGAACTGCCTGATAAATTGTTGGTACTCAAAACACTTTTGAATCAAAATAATGCTTTAGTTTTTCTGAAGAATCCCTGAAAATAGATCTTATTGTACTATACAAAGACATTACCAACAGGTAAAACTGGTAGGACAGATATTATCACTTATTATTTTTATAATAATAGCAGATTATTATAAACATCATATTTATTGTATTAAACAGTTAGTATTTCTTAAATATTAACTATGAATCAGGTACTGAAACAAAGTATACAATTTATTTCACTTGATCCTCAAAACCATCATATATAGTAGATTCATTATTACCACCTCTTTACAACTGAGGAAAGTGAAGTTCCAAGAGGCAAAGTTATATGCCCAAATCTGACAGTAGTAGGTTAGGACTAGTAAGTGGCAGCACTCAGAATCAAACACAGATCTTTCTTAATTGCAAAGTTCATACTGTTAACTGCTACAATTTTCTGCCTTTTAGTATTTGTGTAAGCAGTTCCCATGAATAAACAATGAATGTAAGTTTAGTAATAAAAAGTATTATCTAGCTCAAAAATACCAAAATTCATGAAAATAAAACCTGACATCTATACTACTGAATGATAAAAGTAGCATTACTTACTTGCTTGCACAATTACTTACTTGCACAATTTGCCTTCTCCCATGTGATATTAAAAAATTCAGAGAGAATCACAACTATTTGCACTCTATCTGCCATTAATAGACTTCTGGCACAATTATGACTCTCTGAAGTATTCTGTAATGAAAGAGACAGGAAAATACAAGTCATTTTTAGACTTCCCAAACAACAATTTGAGGCAAATGGAATAAAATGATCTCATAGTAAGAATTAAAATATTTATTATAAACATTCAAATTTGTTTTGCTATGATCAGATAAGGACATTATTAACAATGGTAACAAAACAATAGCAGCTATCATATTGGTATCAGGTTCACTTGCAAAGGAAGAAAGTCTTTGCTTGTTAAGTACTTGTTTCTATAGTACAGCATCAGTTACTTAGATCTAAATTGCATGCCATGTCATATTTCTTACTTATCGGGAAAAATTCTGGAAAAGCTATTCAGCACAATGTAATATTGTCTATTTCTAATGGAAATAGTGATTTTCATTTTCTTTCCTGCCTCCCAAATAAATTTCTCTACAATATATACTTACATAATTTGTAGTCTGGTGAGTAAATGATACAAAATATTTAATTTCATCTTCTGGGCAATCTTTGGCTTAAAGTTTATAGAAAAATGTGTCACATTCAGTCTGTATCCTGATAAAAAATGTGTTTTCCACAAGTCATTTTAATAATGAAATACACACTATGCAAATAATTCCAAGGTTCGGAATTATTTGATCTGTATATTATTTCCTTTCCTGTGTACCCCAAACAATGAACTATGTCCTGTAGACACTTCAGTCTTTCAAAGTTATTTAACTCTTATTATTTACTAAGCATTATAGGAATCATGGAGTTTTGAGGTATAAAAATTTGTGTAAGAAACACCATCAACACTGGGACTTTTAGAACAGTACACAGACAGGCAATTACATAATGTGATAGGTAAGAAAAGAGAGAAGAGTGATAACTCAGGAAAGAACTAATCAGTCATGTACAATGAAATGCAAACACCACTAAGTATTTATCCAAAGATTATAAAAATACTAACCCAAAAATATATATGCACCCTATTTCATAGCAGTATTATTCACAACTTAAATGCCTATCAACAGATCAATGGATAAAGAAGTTGTGGTATAGAATTTGCAATGGAATATACTTAATTATTTTAAAAAGATGAAATCTTTAATTGGGGTTACATTGGCTTATAACACTGTATGTGATTCAGAAACACACATGTCATCTCACCACCCCCACCCCCAAGGTACCCAGTGTCCTCTACCATAGTCCATTGTACCTCCTTCCCCTCTGGTAGTCTCAATCCTACAATCATATTTCTAATTGGTTTGGTTTTCTCTGACCCTTTGTTTCTCTATATTCCACAGATAAGTGACACCATCTGGTATTTGTCTTTCCTATTCTGAATTATTTCATTTAGCATTATCCCTTCCACTTACATCCATGTTGTCATTAATGTCAAGAGTTCATCTTTTTATGGCTGAGTTCTACTCCATTATAGAAATATACATCTTCCTTATCCACTCATCCTTGAGCACTTAGGTTGTTTCCACAATCTGGCTATTATAAATAGTGCTGCTGTGAACACAGGAGTGCACCTATCCCTTCAAAATAGCATTTTTGCATTCTTTGAACAGATACCAAGGGTAAAATTGCTGGATAATAAGGTAAAGCTATTATTAATATTTTGAGAAATCTCCACACTCTTCCATAGGGGCTGGACCAGTCTATACTCCCATGAACAGTGTATAAGAACTCCTTTTTCTTCACATCCTCACCAATATTTGCTTCTGGTCTTAAAAAGATGAAATCTTGCATTAATATGGATAGACTTGAGATGATTACATTAAGCAAAGTCAGTCAGAAAATGAAAGACATTTACAGATGGTTACACTCATTTGTGAAATCTATTAAGCAAACCAAATTAACTAACAAAACACAGTATAGGGAGTTTCTCTTAGACCCTTAGAAAACTATGGTGGTTCCTAGAGGGCAAGTTGCAGTTGGGTGGGAATCATGGAGAGAGGTAGCCAATTTGAGAGTGTGAACGTGCTAGAACTTTGGTAGTAAATACAATGAACACATTATCAAGGTATGAAGCGTCTTACTCCTGAAATTTATCTAGAATTGTAAACCAATGGCAAATTAATTAAATTTTATTTAAAAAACAAAGATGTGCCCAAATGAATGCTCACAATTGAAGCAGTAAATTAAATACAACATTTTTAAAGTCCGTTTTTTGGAATTGCTTCCACTGTAAATCACAGAAGAAAGCTTTTATTACTTCTTGTGTAGCACATGTCCTAAAGAGCCAGACAAGCTGGGTCACGCATTGGTAATCTTGGGCAGCTAAGGTAAGTTGAGGTTCCATTTCATAATCATGAGTTCTATATTTATTATATTAAATAAAACAGTATACATCAGGCATTTAGCATAATGTCTGCACAGAGTGATTGAATATGACTTTTCATCTAGCCACCTTACCGCCAAAATTAGTGGTATATATGGTTAAGCAAAATCAGTTACTTAAATTCTAGCTTCATAAGGCTGGCGTTTTAAAAATCACAATGAATGTTCAATGAGTGAAACAGTTCAGTTGAGGAAGACATCAGTGTGGTGGGGGAAAATTAGGGAAGAGTTCATAGAGGAAGTGGTATTTAAAGTAATCCAACTCCCTAGACTGAGGACGGAATAAGGATTTTAAAATGGGAGAATAAAATGATCCAGGGGTGAAAGTGGGAATGATTATGCAGTATTAAGAAGGTCACTGTAATGAGGCAGCTGCCATTCAATAGCTAGAAAAAAGGGCACCTCTATCAAAGTAGAGGCGTTAGAGGAAGAAATTAGGGCAAAGTTATGAAGTGTCTTGAAGGTCATGAGCCATACAGGGGAAAACTTACGATTTTTGATATGAAAAGTGGAGTTTGGGGAACATAGATCTAGGTCACAATATGTAGGGCAAGAAGGTAGAGAAACCAATTAGACTTCCATTGGTCAGAAATAATGAAAAGACAGTGGCAACAGTGGTAATGGAAGTGATGAATAATGTTGCAATGATGATCATGTATGCAGAATATCTAATGGTTCTTAATGTTCTAAGTATATATTCCAAATAATGTTTGAAACTACTTAATGTTCAGATTTTTCTTCTGCATTCAAATTCAGCTTCTGCCACCACATGGCCTCATCATCTGGAGCTCAGTTTCTTTCTTTCTTTTTTTTTAGTATTTATTTATATATATTTTATATCATTGCTTGTATGCTTTCTCCTCTCAGGTAAAATTTCTATAAAACTCCCACCACCAAGTCGCCCATGAACTATCAGCATAGTCCCTTGTGCCCTTCCCTCCCCTTTTTTGATCCCACTACCTCCCCCACCTGTAGAATGTCTCCGATTTATAGTTGCCCGCTAATTTTGTTTATTTTTAATTTATTACTACTGTTTTTTTTTCCCGATCCCTTATTGGCTCCCCTGTAGTCCTCCTATAAGTAAAACTACCCATTATTTTTCCTTTCCTTCTGGCTTTTTTCACTGTAAAGCTAAGATTCTGACTACAACGAATCTGACTATCTACTTTCATGTTGCCTACTTGGCAAAAAGCAAGTGCAAGCAGATTGTTTCCACAATAAATCCATAATTTCAACCTGCACTCCTCACTTTCCTCTCTGTTCACTCTCCCCTCTTTAAAACCAGTATCTCCAATCTACTCTCCCTAAAACTGATATCCATCTCACCCTTCCCCACAATCTAGCCTTCTAGTTGATAGTGAAAACAGAAGGCATCAAACTGAAACTCTGCCCCACCTAGCTCTGCACAGTCTCTTCCTCCACCCTCTGCACCATTTCTCACATGACTACATCTCCCCACACTAATTTTTCCTCTACCTTCTCTAGTCATTGTCCCATTTTCTCCCAGGTAGTCTTAATAGCCTTTTAAAATACACATTTCATGTCATTCCACACAATTTAATCTTTCAGTCACATCACACTGCTTTAAAATCCAAGTGTACATGAAAAGATGTTCAATCAGGCCCTCCCTAGTGGCACAAAGGGTTAAGTCTCAATACAATGAAGCTTTCAGCCACTGCAGCACTAGTTTCATCCCAGCCAGAAAGCTGACCACATGGTGCAGCAGACCTCTCCGGTCTCATCCACTGCTCCCCTCAGCAGTGTATTTCAGTACATCTGTCTGTTCTGCTCCCCATTCTGTCTCTGGTGAATCCTCTGCACCTCTGGCCAGTACCCCAGTTCTTGTATGCATAAATAAATAAAAACAAATCTTTACAATAATAATAATACCTTATTCCTGAGAAACAATACTCCCCCACATATACACATATCCATATACAAGGAACAACTAATCCATTCAAATTCATGTGTAAGAAACTCAAAACACATTTTCCCATAGGTTCATTATTACACATATTGGCCTAATTTCCTATCAATCCAAAAGAAAAAAAAAGTAACCTATCAAATCAATAAAGTACCTGAGAACTGTGGAAATCAAACTTTAAAACTTTTGCACTAATAAACCACAGTCAGCTCTACTAAGGAAAGGACAAAGGTTAAGGATAACTTGGAGAAGAAATACAGATAGGAGAAAGGACTTTTCTACTGCTTTTTATATCTGCCGGCCTTCTTTCACACAGGGCAAGGCAAGCTGGGTGCCCATATTACTGGTTTTGGAATCTGAACAGCGTAAGAGAGGGAAAGTTTTTGCAACCCTCACTGAAGTCTCTCACGGGCTGTAAGGAATGTGTAGAAATTTATGCCCAGAATGGATGCCACCCATAATATTGTAGAGTTTGGGGTGATTTTTTAACCTCTTAATTCCACAGCCTCTACATAAACATTGAAAGCACTTAATGACTACAAAATCCAAATTTTGCAACACGGTTCTCAGCCATTCTGGCCACAAAACAACTCACCTAGGCCCTTCCCGTGGCTGGCACAGCAGGTTAAAGCACAGCACTAAGAAGCTAAAGCAACTTCAGCATGCCTTTGATCCCCACTGCCCGGAGGTGATACACATGGCCAAGCAGACCTCTCCAGGCCACCCGCTGCTCCCCTCAGCAGTGTATTGTCAGTCGGCCTATTCTGCTCCCCACTATCCCTGGTGAAGCCTCTCGTCACCCCTG